TGGGATCTGGAACAACATTTTGTAATCGAAGACGATTATTTCTATAGAAAAACAGAAAACATAGATTGCACCAGTTCAATTCTGTCTAGAATTTTTGCCACCACATGAATTTTTAATTTTCTTTTAAGAGACATTTGAGCAACAGAATTGTAAGCTGGGAGACTGGTGGAGTTATATAGCAAAATAAAACAATTGTGGTGTTTATTTTTTTTAAATTCCAATCAATGACTAGAAAAAGGATTTTCTTGATTTCTTTATTTTATTTTTTTTTCTTTTTGTTTACTTTTCAGCTTTTTTCTGTGACTGCTAAACTATAGTTGCTTAGCAGATACGTCCTAGTTGGTACTAAGGCTATTTGTGTATATAAGTTCATATAATTTTAATAAGGATTTATATCAGCATCAATTATTCAAGGTTGGGAAAGCTGTGTGCTTCAAATACAAGCATTTCATTTTCAAACTAACTGTGAAGTTCACTGGGCAGCATAGCATCCTTGCCAACTGGCCAAAAGCAAGTCACTAAATTAATGACACTGAGTGAACAGGCTCAATTTCAGGCTTAGCTTAAAAATCTAATTTTATTGCTGATAACTGCCTTTTAAAATACAGCATCGTTTAAAAATCAGTCATTTCAACATAGTAGTGAGCCAGTATTAATCTCAGCATTTTATCCAACAATATAGAACTTTAGACTATGTTCAGCCCATGAAGTCAATGTCCATATAATATTTAATACATGTTTTATAGGTGTCTCAAAGCCATCCAGTTGAGAATGCTCAAGAAGAAAATTTGCAGGGAAGGTCCTTTAAAGACTGCCTTGCCAGACTTTTCAGCTGGGTAATGGGAATAAGCCGCTGTGAACACCTTCGATTAAGGCAATAAACGTATGTGCGCTTGTGCGCACTGATTTTGAAGCTGGGTGGCAAAGTTAAGGCAAATACAGTAAAACGTGTCCTTCTGTGCAGGTTTCCATGGCAACCAAAAGGGATATAGAAGCAGTGACTTCTCATTGTTATTGTTACTGTTATTAATCTTTCAAGTGTGTTTTTTCACTCACTAATGCACATTCAATATTCTGTAAGTAGCCTTATCATATTTTGTTTCATGGATTTTTTTGGTTGGTTGTTTTTCTATAGCTTTAATTATGAATAGCTTACTACATTGCCTTTTCTCCTTTAATTATTATTATTATCTTTTTTTTTTGCATTTTCACATCTTTTCAGAGATACTTCAGAGGCTACTTTTCAACTGGCAAGCTTATCACAAATTTATATATCATAAATAAGTCACAGTTTTTAAAATAATTTGTTAAACTACGTTTTTTTTTTGTAAACAGCGCTATGAGATAAATAGAGAAAGTTCTCATGTATAATTTAAATGTTTGGATATGGGCATGCTTTAGTCCATAATTTACCAAATTTATCACAACAACATTTTAGGAAGAAAGGATTATTTTCTCATGGGATCCCTGCACTCAAGGAATGGACTGAGTGATTTGTCCAGCGGTTTGATGTGGAGTTGAATGAACCCTTTCCAACGGATGCTTCATGTAGCACATTCTGCTTTTTGGAGGGGCTAAAGCTCTATCATCTCAGTGATAAACCTCTGTAGAAGTAATGGAAGAGGATTTAAGGAACTGTGCTGATGAAGTACAGGACCCCTATATTCTCGTGACTGTGAACTCAGCTTTCATGCATGCATTTTCAGTGTGCTGCCTACTTGTTTGCACTATTTCTTACTAGTAAGTATTACTATTGCATGACAAGAATTCATAGGCAAAGGAGAGAGAGATGGGAAAGGTTGAAAATCAGGGAAATGTTAGAAATTTGGAGATTGCTCTAAAGTGGGGTGACCACAGGGAATGATCGTGTGTTGCTGTGTTTTTGAAATTTTTATTCTATTTTTAACTTGTGTTTATACAGTGTTTTGTGTCTTTTACAATACAGATTTAAGAAAAAGAGATACTCCCCACTGCACATACCTTCCTGTGCCTGGTCCTCACCCACCCTCCTTCCTTCTTCCATTTTTCGTTTTTTAATTCTTACAGTAGCTTACTTTCAGTTCATGTCACAATCACAGGCTTAACACTCTATGAAGTTAGGAGAAAGAACTTTGAAAGTTTCACCATAAAGAAACTACAAATTCTTGAGGAAAAAATGTTTGCTTGGATTTGAATACTTTATAATGTACACATGCATTGAAGTATCACACGCATGCCTTAAAATGTATGATATTAATATATATGTTTAAAATAGAAAAATATTTCTATATCAAAAGCAAAAATCAATTACCAGCTAGTTGATCCCAGAGAAAGTCCATTCCTCTGAACATGTGAATAGAAATGTTGAATGCATTTACTGTTTTTCATAAAATGAGAAAATTGCTGCTGGTGAATTAAGCCGTAACATAAATTCTCGGGCCGGGAGCGGTGGCGCAAGTGGTTAAGGTCCTCGCCTTGCACGCCCCAAGATCCCATATGGACGCCAGTTCTATTCCAGCAGCCCCGCTTCCCTTCCAGCTCCCTGCCTGTGGCCCGGGAAAGCAGTCGAGGACGGCCCAAGGCTTTGGGACCCTGCATCCGCGTGGGAGACCCGGAAGAGGCTCCTGGCTTCGGATGGGCATAGCACTGGCCGTTGTGCTCACTTGGGGAGTGAATCATCGGCTGGAAGATCTTCCTCTCTGTCTCTCCTCTCTGTATATCCGCCTTTCCAATCAAAAAATAATAAAAATAAATCTTTAAAAAAATCTTTAAAAAATATATAAATTCTCATATAAGAAAAATCATCATGTCAGAGATTAAAATTTAAGGGTAGTATAAAATGGTGAGTGTGATAGTAGAATTAAAATAGTTATTTCCCTTTAAGAACCATGGGATCATAAAATACGGTGATGCTCCACATAACGTGATTTGGAAATTGTACAGTGGCAGGAAGAGCCAATGGCTACTGAAGCGGTGAGGCTAGATTCCAAGATTGAATTCCAACAGTCTTGAGTAGCTTGCCTCTCATTAACGCACTGGAACAACTCAGTGAATGACAGCACTAATCCGTTCATGAGGACAAGAACTAGAGAGTGCACTGGCAGGAAGCTGAAAGTGGAGTGGGAGCAAACTATGTGACGCAGATGTGGCATTCCCAGAGCCCTCACCGGGACATGATCTTGAGGCCCCAATTCTTAACAATGTCATATTGGAAATTATGTTTACAACTATTTTCAGAAAACATACTGAAACCCTAGCATAAATTGACCTTCCCCCCTTGACATCCTTAACCTGATTGTTACTCCTGTGTATCATTAACATGCCTTTCACGCCTTCACATGTCCAGTTTAGATGATTAATTATGTGCGTCATCCTACAGTTACTGCAACTTCTGTCGCTTTCTCCAGTTGAAATTTATGCATTTTTCCTTTCTTCTATGCAGCTGTGCACTGATTATCAGGGGTCTGTTTTTGCATTCTTCTTTCAAAGTCACAATATCCAAGTCTTCGTTCCATGGTGATCATTGTCTTATTTATGTTGTTATCTGAGAATTTAATGAGTCTGTGGACCCTTTGTTACCTAAATCTAAGAAAGACTTCCTGAGGTGTGAAAACCAGTATCCTTTTGAATGTCATTCATTTTCTGTTAATGTTTATTTCTACCTCCTGACTGATTAATATTCAATTATGGTTTTAACAATTTTTGTGTAATTGTTTTTGTGCTAGATACTATCCAAAGTTATAACACTCATGCCAGTTCCATACTGAAACAACCTATTTCAAACTGTATTTTTTTGAGTTCACAGATTTCTTGCCCTGATGGGGCCAACAGAAGTAAAACTGAAGTATCATTTCCATGAATCTTGCACATTTTATCCAACTATAGCATATCTTGTAACTTTTTGTTTTATCCTAAGGTCTCGTCTATGCCCTTAGACATGAAACATTTAGAGGAGTCACTGAGTTTCTGAATGCTTCATCCTGCATTTTTCCAGTGGTGTTCTAAGGGGTTGATGGGCAAAAAAAAAAATAAATAGAATTATTTTCTTGCTAGTAATTATTACTGACTTCATCCCCTCTCTAGCGTTAAGTGGGTCAAACCTAGAAAATTAAGGCCCAGAAGAATAAATGATACTCTTCCAGTTGTGGTTTAGTATGCCTAAATTCAGTAAAAATAGTTACAATTTCTTTGCTAATACTTCAAAAATAACTGGTGTAAAGCAATTAAAAGTGCTACATGTACACTGAGGCATTTTGTGACATTCATTCATTTTATAAAGTCTTGCTTATGATATCATTATATTATAAAAACAAAGGCAAAGAATATTATGGAAACATTCTAGACAGGCAATGGGAAGGGGAAATCCTTTGGTAATATTGTCATTATTGGTTTGGGTTGCCACTTATATTAAAATCTCAATTTCTCATCACAGTATTTCAGCAGTCACGACTTGGCCTGCAGCATTTCTGGATCTGTTTAAATATAAGCCATAAGACAAGTTTCCATTGCAAACATTTCTGCTAATTAAAAAAAAAGGGAACTTTTTTTTCTGGAAAGAATACTCTCCTTGAGCTACAAAACGGAGATTGCAGTCTAGAGTCTGGATTCATGCATCAAAAATGAACTGCTGAAGCAGATTTTGTCAACTAACAAATGCCATTTCCGTCTGAGCATTTTTCCACCTCAGTCTACTCCATCTGTCTGAGAGGGAGCGATTATTCTGAAACTCCAACGTGTAGCATTAAAATTCCGTTAACACTCAACGGAATATTAACACGTCTAGCATTGCCACTTTTATCTCTCTGAATTTCAGCATTAATTTTAATCTATCTGGCTAATTAAGAATATTGAATAATATATGTAATTATGAGCTAACATTATGCAATAGCAGAACTTAGTTTAGACATATATGGGAGGGGGTTTTGTATTAGGTTATACTAATTGCACTTAAAGGTACAAAATATTTTACAGAGTCAAATTTCACAACCCTCTGACTATACAATTATTTATTCTTTTTGCAGAACCACATCACCGCCTTTGCAGAAGTCACATGATATCGAAGCAGATGGTTTTTCCCTGCACTGGACATCATCTCTTTTTACCATCCATTCATAACACCCAAAGTTTATTTGATTACAAGAGAAGTTTATAAAGTTGTCTGATAATTTTTATAATTTTAATATCTATGTTGATCTCTCTGCTTTCCCCACTAGACTGTGAGCTCCTCCAGGGCAGGAATGAGTCTTTCTTCACTTGTATCCCCAGCACCTGCAACAGAACATAGCACAACGTAGGTGCTCAATAAAAATGTGATTACTGAATGAACAAATTAATTTCTAATAAAAATTTCACCTTAGTTCCTCACAGAATCATATCTGTTAAATAAAAGCTATCTCTATATGAACCATATTTGCGAAAAGAATAAAAAACCCTTCTATTTGGGGCCAGTTAAACAGAATCTTTCATAGATTATTCAGGAGTATATACTATTTCATTTGAAGTGGACTTTCAAAGTCATGGGGACTTTTAGTTTGTTATTCAGCATGACCTCATTTCCTTTCTAACAGATTTCAGTGTGTGAATTTTCTTTACTTTTAGGAAGTATGTTCTATGCTAAAATGATGTTTGCACATTATACTATCCTATATTTCACTTAAAATACCATTCACACTATACATTCTAAGACTGGTGCTTCTGCTTTTGAAGGGGAAAATGCCAATTTTTACTGTAATAAGTAATGTATCATAATTAAAATTATTTATTTGGACTTTTTTCTTGACACATGTGATTTAATTGCTGATTTACAGGTTTTGAATGCAGAAAGTATCTAAGATAGTTTGAATTGATAAATCCTGCAGTGGTAATTATTATTGAGGAGCATCCCTTTAATGATGGCATCTCAAGGGCAATCAAAGTCTCTATTCATAGTCTCGTTTCCCCCCCAGTGGTGAAAATTTCACACATTTAAATGGGAAAAATCCACCCTCCGACATGTATGTTAAATTGCATAAGTGCTAGAAATACAGTCAGTGTGTTTTGTTTTTCATTTGTGTAGAACTTCATGATTTACAAAGTATCATTTCATTTATTACTGTGTAAATATAAAGAGTGCAACTTTATTTTTGTGAGAAAAAAAAATAATGACATAGTGAGCCACATGCCTAACCTCAAACAAGTGTTAAGAACAGGCTTAAAAGTAATTACATTTTCTGACCCTAAATGCACATTCTCTTCAAATACAAGGATGCTTCAGAAAAGATCATGGAAAATAGAAATAAAAGGTAAGTTCTTGTTTTGGGGGGGAAATGCTGAAATCCATTCTTTTTTCCCCATAATATGCATTTTCCATGACATTTTGAAGCCCTGTCACGTGCAACACCAATGCTATTATATTGAACAGTAAGACCTTTGAAGAGGTCCGTAGAGTGCTGGCCAGCTGCCTATGTTTTAGAAATGTAACTTAAAAGTAAAATTATGACCACTCTGTAGTATTTTGAATGCTTGTGGGCATTTAGAATGAATTGCTTTAAATGTGCAAGTGTGCAATAGCCTATATGTAATCTTACTGAAAAGTAACAGATGCCATGGATCCACTTGGAAGGACCTCTTTAAGCAAAAGCTGAATCAAACCTCTTCCCTTTTAGTATCACCCCAAATCTCAGGTCCCAACTCAGCTGGGTGCCCCAGTGGCATGCCTTACACTGAGTCTGTAAAATAAAGGGAGAAAATTTACATAAAATAAGGAAAATGAGCATTTTGCTGGTAATATTGCCATGTTGAATGCTATTCTGGTTTGTTGGTTTATATAAATGTTAGTAAAATTGATTGAAATGAATCTTCTATCTGTGACCGTACTAGAGAATGTGACATTTTAACATAGTGCAGTTTGAAAAGAAATTGGTAAACAAGTATTACTAAAGTCTATCCATTACTCCCAAACTGGATGTTATCTGCCCATCTTCATCACTATAGGTGTTCCAACACTTCTATTTGGGCCAAAAGAAGAAAATCCATGTCTCTACCAATTTTAGATCTTTTTAGAAATTCTACTTTGTTGATATTTTAGAATGTGAAAAATCTTTGAATGCCTTGATACTCTTTAATGACCTCTACGGCAATAACAGCAATGGAGACTTAACTGACTGGTGGTCAAAGCAAAGGGGATTAATTATATATTTCTGAAGGCAGAATTTCCAAGAAGACTTCTAAAATTTGATAATTTCGGTTGGTCATACAAGATTTCCCAAAAGCTCAAAGAAGAATGGTTTTCTGTATTTTATATAGCTATATATTATTGTGCTCATGTCATATGTTTGGACCTTGGACTGACAAGAAGAGTTATAATTTTCTAAATAATTTAATCAAAACCAATGGAAATTTATATTTAAGCTTCATGGGATCACTATTGATTTTATTTTCAAGAAAATATATAGATCAAAAAAAAGTTACAAATGAATATGACTAAAACAAGCAGAGTCCTTAATCATGATGCTATTACTAAGAATATTTAAAAAACTTGACAAAATAGTTAATATGTAAATATGTATGTAAAAAGTCTAGCAAAAGCAGATAAATACATATCTTTCTGATAAAATCATCACATTTTCAGTCTACTTTCCTGGAGCCCAGGTCAGTATACATTGAGCAACCTAAAAATTTCAGTAGTCTCCGATTGCATGGCAGAAATTCTGCACATGTTCTAACTGATTCCTAGGGTAACTTAAAAGGCTCTTTTATGTTAAAAGAGAGGTGAACCTCCTTTGACAGACTTTGTCTATTCCACTTCTAATTGGGCCTCTCTTTCCTCAGGATCTCTCCTAGCCAAATATATCAGTTGCATTTACCATACAGTTTCTTTGTGAAAGAGCAGTAGGGGAAGAAATAATTCTCTGCTGTCTACTGTATTTTTCAAATAAAATTTTCAAAATTAAATTTAAAAACAAATTTGGTTTTATTCCCAATCTGTTGTTCTATGTTGTGGGTTGAGGAATAAAGACTGCTTGCTAATGTGTGTGGAGGTCCGTACTCTTCATGACTATGAACAACGTTTAGGAATGGATCAAAGCAACTTGGATTAAACCATTTCCGTGGGCAGCTACGTGACTGCCAGCATCCCATGAGCCACCTGGTGAACTCACCACCCTTGGTGTTTTGCAAGTCGTAACTGCATTTAAACTATTTGGAACACTGAGCAGGTTTGTAATCTAATGTATGGTCTGCATCCTGTATAGGAACACAGCAGTAAAGGTAAATGCAAACGATCTTGTTTCTGCGTCTGTGGAAGTATGTATTAAGTTTTGATTACGTGCTCTAAAAAGTTATCCTAGACATAATACAAAACGGTTCTATTCACAGCTTGCAAACATGAATTTTCTCATTTCCCTATCATTAAATTTCTAAATAATTTGTAAAAAGTAATTATTTTCAAGCTTTAGATTCAAATATTTCTTTTGGAACCAAAGTAAAAGAAAATTTTCAAAAAAAGATCTAACAGCAGCCAAATTCTTCTTTTCTGCCTCCTTCATTTTAAATCATAGTTAATGTTTAATTCGATAGACTTAGAATTGGTACATGTTTAATTCTTCTAACTCTACAAATACTACTGAAAATATTATGAGCCACGGGTGAACATTAGGATTGAAATTTTAAACTGAAACTCTCAATTTTGTAATAAAGCACCTGGGCCTTGGACCTTGTAAAGTTTGTTTTGGGTCACAATTCAAGAGCTTCATGGTTGAGGGGCTGCATCTGGTGAATGCCTTTCTGATGGCAAAGTCCCAAGGCACCGCAGAGCTTCACGCAGGGAGATAAAGGGAGTACATGTACTCACAGGTCTGTGTGCATCTTCCGGGTCCTTTCCCTCTGATAGAAAAGATACCGGGATTAAAGCATGAGCTTTTACCCAATCCTAACTAGCTTCTAAAGATTTTAATTCAAAATATCACACCAGATTGAGTTTTTACCCTCTCACTGTCACACTGGATATTAATTCTCAGCATATGAAATCTTAGAAGACACATTGAAGAGTTGTTAAAGCACAGGCTGGCTTTCAAGGAGCCTCTTATAAGAACATATATATGCAACGTAATTAATATAAAAAAAAGCATTAGGAAAAGAGGGAGAATTTAAAAAAAAAGAACATATATATGAGTAGGCATGTGACCGCCTCCCTCCCGCATTATGTCTGGTGGGGGGTATGAACTTGAGGGTTCATGTCCAGGTGAGAATGACCCCAATGAACTTCCATGGACATTACCACTGTTCTAGTAGGTAAGCAAGGGTGCTGAAACTGAGCTGTTTTTAGCAGGAAATTGGAGGATCTTTAAGGGTCAGACCAAAATACCAGTTCCCCTAAGGGCCTGAGTTAATGTAGTTAGCATCAACCATCACTGAATACCGTTCACAGATAAACACTGAAGCTGGAATGGGGGTCTTCCTGACAGGCTTGGATCAAGGTGCCCCTCCAGTGAGTCAGAATATGAATGAGTAATGTGTGGCTAGGCCATTACACTAAGCAGCATATGAGTAAATCAAAACTGGAAGCAGAATTTGTGGAGCTACCATACAAAAAATGAAATTATCAACAAAATGAAAATGTAACAAACAGAATATGAGAATATCTTTGTGCACTGCACAACAGAAAGATGACTAATATCCAGGTTTTTCAAACAGCATTAGAAACTCAATTACAGAAAATGAAACAACCCTGTGAAGAAATTGGCAAATAAAAAGGGCATTTTTCAAAAGAACAAATTCAATGGCTAAAGACATATGAAAATAATGCTCAAGCTCCCTAGCTATCAGGAAATACAAATAAAATCAACATTGGGGTTCCACCTAACTCCGATGAGATTGACCTACATGGAGAAATATAATAACATCTGCTGATACGTGCATATGGAAATAGGCAGCCCATCCACTGTTGGTGGAAGTGCAGGCCAGTGCAGAACTATAGAAGTCAGTACAGAGCGTGATAAGGTAACTGAAAATTGATCAACACTCTGATCCAGCTATCCCACTCATGGGAATATATTCAAAGGAATTGAAGTGTGAACATGAATAAGTGACCTGCAACCTGGTATTTTTATTAGTGCAGTTGACAATAGTAAATATATGGAAACAAGCCAGATGCCCATCCAAAGAGTAATAGATTAAGAAACTGGTACATCAACTGCATGTAATACTACTCATACATTAAAAAAAATCTACATTTGCAATAAAATGGTCCCAACTACAGAACATTGTTCTAAGTGAAATGAGGCAATTTCAAAAGGACAAATATCACATGTTCTCATTAATATAAAGTAACTTTCATGTAACATACAAAAAGATATATAGGTTAACTATCAAATATGAATATACTCATAGGTGAACTGTTTAATGAAGAGTAACATACTGAGAAGTGAAGATGCATTGCAGTATGCATCTCTACTCCTGAATAAAAGGGAGACTTCAATAAAACTGTTAAATATTTCTTGATGACATCATGCTAGAGGGCCTGGTGTCATGGCTCAGTGAATATATCCTTACCCTGCAGGCTCCAACAACCAATACGGGTGTCAATTTGTGTCCTAGCTGCTGCATTTCCATTCCAGCTTCATGCTTGTGACCTGGGAAAGCAGTAAAGGATGGCCCAAATCCTTGGAATGTTGCACCTGTGTAGGAGATCTGGAAGAAGTTCCTGGTTCCTGGCTTTGGATATGCTCTGCTCCAGCTACTGAGTTACTTATGAACTGAATTAGTGGATGAAAATCCTTTTC